TAACCAGAAGGCTGGCAGTTCAAACCCCCCAGCCACTCTCAGAAGGAAGATGGGGCAATCTACTTCCATAGTGATACTGCCTCGGAAACCCAAGGAGGGGTCTCTATGAGTTGGGTCTGACTTGACGGCACATAACAACAAAAACAATATATGTCTTTGTTTTTTTTCAACCTATCTAGAAATTTTCCTTCCCCTCCACTCCCTGGAGGAGCTCTGGTGATGCTGCCACAGCCACCCAAAACCAGACCCAGCCAAGTTGATACACAACTAACTACCATAGAAGGCAAAGGCTACATGCAGAGTAACATACGCCAAAACATATGGACACTCTCCTGGTATTATCATTGTATCCATCCATGTTAAATGTATGTCTTTTTAATTTAAAAGTATTTAATTCTAGTAAAGTAGTACCAAAGAATCCCTGAGTGGTACAAATGGTTAAGTGCTTGACCACTAGCCAAAAGGTTGGAACTTTGAACTTACCCAGATGCACCTCAGAAGACAGGCCTAGCGATCTGTTTCCAAAAGGTCACAGCCTTGAAAACCTTATGGAGCATAGTTCTACTGTGGTACACACGGGGTCACCATGAGTCAGAATTGATGGCAACTAACTATAAGAGGAGCTCTGGTGGCATAGTGGTTAAGCACTTAGATGCTAACCAAAAGGTCAGCCATTCGAACCCACCAGCTGCAGTGGTGCTTCTGTAAAGATTTACAGCCTTGGAAACCTGATGAGACAATTCTACTCTATCTTAAAGCTTTGCTATAAGTCAGAATTGACTCAATGGCAGTGGGATTTTTTTGTTTGTTTGTTTAACAACAACAGCAAAGTAGTATCAAAAGTTTCTTTAATCAAACTGAAGTTAAAGTACACATTCTGTCCTGCATCTTAAGTATCCAGTATGCTTCTTCCAGACCATGTCATTTGAACCTGCTATGCAAATTCTGACTGGGTCCTCATATTCTCAGGAGCTTTGGCAGTCCAAGATGTCAAGCTGGTAAAAATCAGGAAGTGTCCACAAATTAAATCCACTTAAAAGAAGATACATAAGTTCACATAAATTTATATACTTTAAGGGCTAATTTTAGAAAATGCAGCCCAGCTATGCTAATTTGATATAGCCAATAGGACAAAAAATGTTGAAAGCCACTCATTTAAAAAGGTGACTTATGCTACTTTCTAGAACTGAGCTTTCTGCAAAACTAGCATTTATAAGAACAGACTCAAGTCTTCTCTATGCTGTTATCAATCCTAGTCATTTATGCCTTAGACACTACAAAATAGTGCTTCCTTTTCAGTCCTATTACAGTTTAGAGTTGAGGTGAGGTGACTACCAATGGTGACAATGGTGAGGTGACTACCAATGGAAGCTTGTTTGACATCTCCAAGATCCTAGATTCTTTGGAAGACACGATACTATTAAAATTTCTACATAAAATGCTAAGGTACTAAGTATTAAATACTAAGCTAATACCATCAGGAGGTTCACAGTTTTCCTTTCAGGAACAAAAACATTGAAACCGTATGTCCCTTAGTTTCATACAGTCCTCTGACCCTTTTAGCAGCCCCGTTCCTAAACAACAGGCAATTAAGTGGGTTCAACAAAACCTTCTAGAAAACAAAAGAAGACTAATATGGAAAGTGATTGATATGGCAAGTGAAGAGATCAGTGTCTCACATTCTTCCTAACTGAAAACACTGTCAGGCAGCCTTGAGAGTCCCTTTAAGAATACTGAGGTATCATGTCAGCAAAAATAACCATAGGTTCAATTCGGTATGTGTATGTAAATGTGTGTGTATGTGTTGTGTTGTGTATGTATGTGTGTGTTTAAAAGAAACACCATCATCAGTGGAGAAAGTCCAATCAGCACTGAAAACTTTTAAGGGTAACCTGTCATTTAAGATTTCAGAAAATACTGTGAACACCAGCTCAGAGAAATCCTGAAGACATCACAGTAAAATAGACTTAAGTAAGAAACTGTCCTTCACCCCACACACACACACATATATACATATATATATATAAAGACACACACACACACACACACACATATATATATATATAACTATAAATATATATATATGAAAAAATAAAGATATATGTATATATATGTCTATGGGAGCTCTGGTTGCATAGTGCCTAAGGCACTTGACTGCTAACCAGAAGGCTGGCAGTTCACATGTTTTTCAGGTGAACCAGAATAGGTCAAATGGCAATTTAAAAGCAAGCCTAGTGAAACGGAAGATTCTGGGTATATATAATCTTTGTAAGTTGTCATTATGGAGCCTTGATGTCACAATGGTTAAATGTTTGGCTGCTAATCAAAAGAGTGGTGGTTTGAATTCACTAGTGGCTCTCTGGGAGAAATGACCTACTGATCTGTTCCCAGAAAGATCATAACCTACAAAAGCATATAAGGCAGTTCTACCCTCTCCTATAGGGTCACTATGAATTGGAATTGACTCTGGGGCACACAACAAGTTGTTCTTATCCTAAATAGTAAAAAAAAATTCTTGAGAAAACGTTACGTTTTAAATATGTTTAATAATATGTAAGCTTAAACAATAGATTTTATATAAACTGTCTAAATAACACAAAACAAAACAAAACTCACTGCCATCAAGTCGATTCTGACTCACAGTGACCCTCATTGGGTTTCCAAGGCTGTAAATCTTTATGGAAGCAGACTGCCTCATCTTTCTTCTGAGGAGTGGCTGGTAGGTTTGAACCACCGACCTTTTGGTTAGCAGCCAAATGGCTTATCCCCTACACCGCCAGAGCTCTTGTCTACATAACTACTAACCTATAATTCAGATGTACAGATATCCATGGTGAAACTCTTCAAAGTTTCCAATCTAATTAATTAAATGGCAAATATGAATCTAGTATAAACACACACATATACACACAGTGGACATACTAAGTGGGCTGATGATATGGTTGCTGGCAAAGCAAGGCAACAACAGCTATAGGCATTACAACTATATCCATGGGATCCAGAAGTAGCTGAAGCCAGGGTAAGGTAGGGCAAGTAATATAGAGAAGACAGGATAGTTCTTAAACTTTTTCTGATCTGCAGATCCATACCCACTGACTCAGCTCTAACTCATTCCTGAACTAAGTAAATCACTGCTTCAAGGAAAGGAGAAGGTGGGGCACTAAGTCTTCCCCAAACATATCAATGAGATGAAAGGTGGGGAAGTGAAATTACTGATTCACCCCTATGCAATGAAGGAACCCAGAGGACCTTCCTACTATGTGGGAAAGGATTTGGAATTTTGTTACAAGTCTGGTCAGTGAGAGAAGCACTCTGAGGTCCTCACAGAGTGCTTGGAGGGTGGTAGTTTTACCACACTACATGAGAGTACATCTTTTTCTTGTGTTACTATAATTTTAAAAGTTATTCTGCCACTGTAAGATTATAATATTTAGACTTATCAAAATCATTCTGAAAGAATATGGGGAAGCTAACCGGAATCCTCCAGAAGGCAGGGTTTGAGAGGGAGAAATCTCTCGTAGGCTCATGAAGTCAATCATGTTTGATCTCCTAAGGAATCAGGAACTAGGTAGGAACTCCCTAGTTTTAGTTCCTTCCAAAAACCAAACTTACTGCCGTCAAGTTGGATCTGACTCATAGCGACCCCTCCTTGGGTTTCTGAGGCGGTATCACTATGGAAGTAGATAGCCCCATCTTCCTTCCGAGGAGTGGCTGGTGGCCTTGAACCG